TGAAAGTATAAAGATTGGTTGCTAAGGTTTGACTTGTACGTACATGACATTAGAATGAAAGTATAAAGATTGGTTGCTAAGGTTTGACTTGTACGTACATGACATTAGAATGAAAGTATAAAGATTGGTTGCTAAGGTTTGACTTGTACGTACATGACATTAGAATGAAAGTATAAAGATTGGTTGCTAAGGTTTGACTTGTACGTTCACCTTTGTACTATTTTATTACGAAAACAAATCAGAAAGTTTGAGAATGGCCACTTAGTTCTCATACGCTTTGTTTATTAACCTAACAGTCTGTCATACAATACGTAATTCTAAGTCGGTGACAAAGCCCATACCATAATCAGCTTTATAAGCGTAGTTTCGAGCTGTATTGTTCTCATCAGCCCAGTTAGGTTGAACATAAAAAAGGCCCATCAGAGCTTTTCGCACTGAATGAAGTGCATAACTTTATTTGGTTCTTTTTAGAAAACCTAAAAATTTCTGACTTAACTGAAACGTAGAAAATTTAGGAAAATGACATATAAAGCTTTATAAATAGATACTGCATTAGTACCTTGTTTAATTACTACATTTTTCTATTTTACAAGATTAATATATTGAAAATAAAAGCAAACTACAGTTATAGAGAAATATAAAACGTGTAAGTCGACTACTGTTAATGATTTTTTTTCTATTGTATAAGTTAGTGTGTAATATTTTAAATATACCAAACAGTTTAACAGTTATTATGGATAATTATGTTGATAGATGTGAATATACAGAATATCACATAATAATTAGTAAAAATTGTTTGGGTAAGATTGAAAGTGTAATTAGATGTTTACAATCTACGAGTAAGTTTGAGTAGTATGAAACAAATTACTTGGTATTACTGAATCCATAAGCTTTATTTTCGGTACTCCGAATTTAGAGTAATAATCATTGAACATATTCATTTAGAATTATGCTAGTTTTATTTGAAAAGATTCTTGGACATACCGTGGAAAGCCACGAAACCTGACAGAAGAAGAAGAAGAAGGAGCCCACGGAAGGCTGACATCCCATCACACATGTGGTAGCTCCAAATCGTTTGTGTCCACAAACGCTTCTTAGATCAAGAACACGCTGAGTCTGCCAACGATGATCGCTAGCGCATCCAACTAACAAACAGTAGGTTCAGTTTCTCAGACACACTACATGGCATCAGAAAATAAGCAGGAAGCAGAACGCGCGCTTGCGCAGGTTCATTTCTTCCCATGAAGCAGTGCGATGCTGGCTCTTATAGATGTTAGAACGTGTTTATTGCCGGTCAAAGTTTGAAACTTTAATTTCGGTCGTGTTGTAAATCTGCTATATCAGACTTCAAACAAGAGCGGGTTTTGAACAAAATATCAGTGACGTTCGTAATAAATAATTGAATTTAACTAATGAAAGTATTTTAAGTTAATTATTCAGTTTTCTGTAATTTTTGATTTATCTAACAATATAGTTTTATTCATGATATTGTTCTTGTAACGACAAATTTAGGTTCTTTACAAGATAGAGTTTATTTTTATACTACAGCGACACCTATATGAGACGCTCAATAATCTGATGTTTAATTTCTGCTTTAGACGCCAGATGTCCTTGCGTGGCGGGCGAGTTTGAAGATCTCATCAAGCGAATTTAGCCATCTTGCCATGTGCATTGTACCACAGCGCCTCACAACGGCGCGGACTCACAAGAGTGTCTTGAGAGCTACAACAGACAACCGATTTCATCAGACGGTTTAGCAGGCTACGGTATCAGTCTTGTCGAGTCGTAGGACTCAGAGACACCTAACACAACTTGCTTGATTGCACGGCGGCCGGTCCGCTGAGTTGAAGCATTAAACGGTGGGAGAAAACTGTAATCTGGCAAAAAGTCTTTATTAAAGGGAAATATAGATATTAGAAGGAAAGTGTTCTAATCGCTATTAACTAAAACAATCACATAAATATACACACACACACACATATATACTTGCGGAGGATTATCTAACTGCTTAACTTAAATGAAATAAGAGAGCGTCATGCACAGTCAGAACCTTCTGCTGGTCATCTTCTATTGCTGGGTTCAAGCCATCACTGTATATGCGAAAGGTAAGTAACACTAAATACTCTTATCTATAATAATCTATATTTCTATGTTTTATGTAGAAATGCTGATACAGTTACGCCTATTTTCGAACTCGTAACATACACTTAAGAAATACGGTTTTTTAATTTCGGTTAGTAAATGTAGGTTTTAACTAAAATTTTAAAACAAGGAGGCTGCACAGTGAAAAAAACAATGAAATTTAATCGCAATCATTAAGACGTCAATACTTTATTTTGTTTTGTTAAATAATTCATTGAGAAGAAATGGAATTATTTTCTTCTTTACTGCGCTAACTTGTTTTTCATACTTTATTTCTTAGCTACCCGAGTTAAATGTAAATGTTATGTCATGTTGTCCTTTTCCTGGCGCAAGTTTTGTTAAATCAGCAGACTATTTTGAGGCAATAATCTCTCGATTATTTTCATTCCAAAACGAATTTGAACTTACTCGATGATCAACTTCATATATATTTATGTATGTATATTAGTAGAAGCATCTCTTTATAGATCAGTTGTACACGTTCTTATTGAATTGATTGTTTTTTTTGTGTGGATATACAGTGGTTGTTTGTAGATGTGACAATATTCAAGATATTGTGTATTGATGTAGAATACATTTTACAACAATTCAATGAAATAATTTGTTGTGATTATGCATGAAGTCCAAGTATCAAATTTTAACTTGGCAAGTATTAAAGTGTTATTGATGTCTAGAGCAAAAATCACTACGATATACAAGACACGATCAGCTCATCCAGAAATTCTATTACATGCCTTGTTGCTCACGTTAATGTTTCTTGGCTTCACTTAATCTCATTCACAAATTGATTTTGTAGTAATGTATGTTTTAAAGGGGGTACATCTAAGATGGTGTAGTCATGAGAACATCATGTTTACGTTTTGTTGTTTGTTAAGAGTTCTAAAAAACTAAGATAAATCTATAAATCCACAAGCTAACTCGTTTCTTTTATCCACGAACCAAATGTGAAAAAATAAACAAACAGCAGAGGGGAAGCTATAAACATTTGTAAGTGAACAAGAACATTTATAAGATTAAAGATCACTTCATATTTTGTACGATAGATTTCGGATACAGAACTAAATCGCTTTGGAAGACTCGTAAAATATCATTTAGTGTAATCTCTTTTTGGTTCCGAATAATGATATTAAAACATAATTTATTTGTTTTACTCTAAGATTGCGATGAGGATAGTCAAATTAATCTGTTACTATATCTTCACCTAGCAACTGGTTATTTTCAATAAATGAAAAGTGGTATTTGTTTCCAAATTATCTTAGGTTTATTTGTTGTCAGTTTATTATATTTGTTAATTTTGAAAACTTTAAAATAAAGAAAAGTAAACCTTTGGTAGACCTCGTATACTAACTTTCGTAATACGTTATGAAAGGTTTTCAGTACTGCCAACAAAATTTGTAACATGCTGCCGAAATATTGCCCTGGTTATGTTGCTATATATTCACGTGAGCCTAATTACATGCTTTTTAAACGATGCACACAAACAAAGTTTTTGAAGAAACTGTATTACTTTTAAAGCGTTATGGTGGCTGTTTGTTCTCACTGCTTTCAATACATTAAAAGTTTTCATATTCTTAAGCATATGAAACTGGCTAACGTTTTATGAAAAGTCGTAAGGTTCTTAAGGGTTATGCATTAAAATTCTTAGATTGAATTTCATGGAATATTGACGACCAGCTTAAAACTCATCAAACAGACTAAAATGAAAGATAAAAACAAACAATGTTTTGGCCAAGAATGCTAATAATGAGGTTATACAAATGTAGATTCAATTCAGTTTAATTATTTTAGGATTATGTTTTGTGATTCATTCATATTCTAAGACATAAAGTATTTATAATCAGTTTTGTATACATGATTCTGCTTAATAGTTTATAAAAGACTTTTTAAATTATTTAGGTTCTATTTCATATAGTTAGCTTACTGTTGATCAAAACTACGGCACGATTGTTGCTCAGCAGAGAATAAGCTCAACCTAAGTGTCTATAAACTTATATATGTGTTATAAACTCATGTTACGATGGACCTGAGATCACTCTATATTACATGTCATCTTAACAATATCACCTTATAATGTTGAACATTTATAATATAAAGAACTATGATAATACAAAAACAAACCTTCATATAAAGCTCTATTCAACTAACCTCTAAAAACAAAAACTTAGAATTTTAAAACACAAACTTATGAAAAACTATATTTGATCCTTTTTGAAATCGGGATTTGAAAACAATCCTGAAACTCCAAGATGCAACCATAACTGAATATTTACTCAAAAAATATATGTTTACCCTTCGTATTATTTAGTTACGTTGGTAGCCTCTCGGTTACCGTATTTTACATCAGGTTAACTTTTATGTATCGCACATATATTTGTATACAGGAATTTCACTAAATATCTATTTTTAAACTGACTTTGGCCGGGCGTGGCCTAGTGGATAACATATTAGAGCTCTGAATCCAAGAGTTCACGGTTTGCGTTCTGTTGCAACAAAACCACTCTCTGCACTTTAGTGCCGTGGGTGCGCTATAAGATTGAGGTCAAATTCACTATTAGGTTACGGAATAGTAGGCGGTGGGTGCTGTTGGGTAGCCACGTTCCCTTTAGTCTATCAGCTGAAAATTAAGGAGGGCTATACGTAGATGACTTTGTGTAGCTTTGGAAATAAACAAATGGATTAAGTTGATTGATCTCATTTTCCATTTACAGTTTAAATGAACTAAACAAACGTCCCCCAGTAGAAGACAAAAATTTAGTGAAAACAACAACAACTAATTTCACACAACGTAGTTGATTAGGACACTTTTTACAAGACAAAACACGTCTCTGCGTCTTGCTAAAATAGCGAGTTAACACTCAATTATACTGATAAAATCATTGGTTCCGATTTCATTAAAAAAATATTTCAGATATAAGTTTTAAAGTTAATCGAAGTTTCTACTATCTAAATTATGAATAATTTCAATGTTCTCTTTATTTGCAACGCTAGATAAAGTGAAAAAAATCTGATAATGGCAAATAATGTAAAAAAAAACAACAACAATAATGTTGTGAGGTGAAACTATAAGCAAACATGCTCGTTATATATGGCTGCCAATCATTTAACTAACGCTCCCAAAACTTCCATATCGTTCTGTTTTTGAAGATAAAAAATAGTGTTTTTGTATTCCTTTTAAATTTATGGCCCTCATATTTTGAAATTATAAGTATGTAACAAATATTTCTCTTCTCAATCCAGAATAAAATATCTTTTGTCTGTTCGATTTAGTTTTAAAATCATGAATGCTTTTGGTCCTTTATTAAGTGGCACGTAATGATGTGAGTGTATCCACGTGGTTGTGACAGTTATCAGTCGGATGTTGGCTTAGTATAAAAATAACAATGAAATTATGTAAGTATTCACGTGTGAGTCAGTAGAAGTGATTGTTACACACAAACTTCCTTGTTAAGCTGTGTGTCAACAGTACTGATTAAAGTCCGCTGACAAAACGATTTTCAGTTTGGAAGGGCGCCTAACCAAAATGTTCAAGCCCCTGTAGTTTGATTTTATAATTTCATTCCTTTAAATGATTTTTCTGTTTGAGGCCGCTATATCAAAACTCATGACCACTTCAATTTCTAATTATGAAATAGTATGTTTGATTGCACTGCATTGCCCTCCAAAAGGCAACTTTCCATGACCTCACTCAAGCAGGAAGGTCATAACCGACATGACTGCTACATCCATTACGTATGCTTCATCAGGAGCAAAGAAATATTGCATACTTATCTTCGATACCTATAGAAGTGTACATAAAGTAAAACATTGAAACGCCCACATTTCTTTCTAATAAACTGAACTTCTTCTGAATTATCCAATATTATAGAATATGATTTCAAACGTTCAGGACAGCAGCGAATTTTTTGTTTTTACAAACAATTGAAAAGCCAGGCTTATGAAAAAAATAAACTAATTCTTCATAATGTTGGTGAAAAGTCGATAGTGGCTGTACCTGTAAAAAACATTTAAGACGGTGTTTTTCTTTAAAAAAAATCAATATATCTTGGTGATCTTACTTTTCCGACAAGTTATTGCAGGTTATTAAAAATGATTTACAGTTTGAAATTAGAGAGGTACAAATGGAAAGTGTCATATTTTCTGTTTGTTTTTACCCTAATGATAACTATGACAATGTGGATGTTTAACTAGTTTTAAAACACACTTGTGTAAGTTAATTGGCGGGAATTGCTCAAAACACACTGTCAAACTAGACAAGCCTTTATAAACTCATCCAAGGAGAGAGTTTACTGCTTGAATTCACAACACCAAGAAATAAAGTCAATTGGGAAAAGATCTGTGGAGCGGGAAGCTATCTGATGGAGTTTATTCGCTGTTAAGGAAACGTTTAGTATAACAACACACTGTGTCGCTTCATCTTACTGATGCCGGTAAACTGATGCATTATTAGTAGAGAAGACCATTTCACCATATGTAGTCATATAATAGCTAGAAGTACTTCTCTAAATTCGCAAAAAAAGTAAAATAACAAACGAAGTCAATATATCTTCACTGAAACTTCCACTCTAAACTGATAAGCTCATCATTCTGTTTCTGAGCTTGATACTTGCTTTGGATTATCCTTGGGTTGGTTATTATTGGCGAACTTAGTAACACACGTGATTAAACCTATAAATGAAAATCATTGCTTACGTGTTATTAATATAGAAATGTTTTTGCCATCTGTGAAGATAATTTTTCAGTCAGAACGTTTTATTAACTTTATTTGTTTTCTTCAAACAAAAGCAAAATCGGAAAACTCGAAACTTAATATGCGCATTCAGTATGTCTATCGATATTCTTCCGGGAAAAACGTCTGTAATAAACTATTCTAGGTTACTGTCATAACCTATAGGGTACACAATTTGATCATATGGTTCTTTATGTTTCTATAAATATATAAAAGGCACAGTGAAGAATATTAGAA